GAGGCTCCGTGCCGCGGAGCTGCCGGCTGTACCATTGGGGCGGGCGGTCCGGCGGGTCCCTCCCCTGTGCTCCGCGCGGGGGCGGGCTGGTTCGTCCGGGCTGCGGCGCTCACCTGCCCGTCCTTGCCCCGCAGGGCTCGCCTGGCTGCCACGATGCCCGTGCTGGACCTTGCCCAGCTCGCCGTGCGCAGGATGCGGGAGGAGGAGGCACCCATCGTCCTGGAGCTGCTGAAGGTCTCCCTGGGGGTGGGGGCGCTCTGGTAGCCGGTTGCTGTGTCTGGCCAAGCTCTGTCCCTGGCTCTGCCCCCCAAGCCCTTCTTCCCCCTCCCCCAGTAACCAGCCCACTTCGCCACCTGCTTGTCCCTGGTGCCAGGGCCCGGGCATGGGCAGAGACAGTGACCCCAAATGGGAGAGTCCAGAGACCTGGATGTGGTGAGAGCCAGCAGGGCAGAGGTGGGGGCCAAACTGGGGTGCAGGATCCAGGCCCTGTGGGGATGCCAGACACCTGCCTTGCGCCGCAGCAGCAGGGAGCAAGGCAGGACAGCCAGGCACCCCAGGGTGGAAGCTCTTTGCCCTGTGGCTCATCTCTCAGTCTGGGCCAGAGCCAAACAAGCAAAGCAGCTGGACAGGCAGCCTGCTCAGCCCCAGCCAGGGTTGCCTCCAGGACCCAGGATTTCTGCATGGTCTCCCCTCCACCTGCTAACTAGGCCCAGCACTGTTTAGCTTTTGAGTTTAGACAAGATTGGGTGCATTCAGTCAGGTACAGGCACCTCCAGTGGGGGCCTCAACCTGGAGCCTTGCTTGTATTGGCAAGCTGTGGAGACTGAGCCCTTACAGCAGTGATTCACTACCAGGGTGCTGGCACACTTAGGAGATGAGGTGTGGGGAGATAATTGGATATGGGCAGGCTCAGGCTCTCCCTGCCTGGCTGCTCCCCTGCCCACACTACTTAGTCTGCCTGCAAGGAGGTAAGTACTATAATACATGTATTATTTTTTAAATGGGGTGCCTCTCAATTCACAGAAGTTATCGAGGGGTGCCTCAAGTCTGAGTGGCACCTTTAGGCTAAAAATGTTGAAAAATCACTGCCTTACACCAAGTCATCTGCTCCAGCCCTCCAAGGCCCAGGAGTCCCCTACTCTAATCCCCTGGGTCCCCCTCCTGTCACCAAGCTAGCAGTAGAACCCAGGATTTCTGAGTTCTACCCATCTCCCTAAAACCAAAGGCAGCCAAGCTTCTGCCTGTGTTTTGTGTCTTGTACTTGTGACAGAAATACTGGATTGAGGTCCTGCCTCCCTTGCCTTCCCAAACTGCCTCTGAACTCAGCAAACTCTACTGCTGGGGGCATTTTCCTTTCCACCTAGGTGCCCCTTACTCCAGCCTGGGGTACACCCTTCAGGAAGACTCTGGCTCACCTACAGCTTTGGATTGAGCCACATTCTATGCTCTCTGGGCCTGGTGCAGCCCAGCTGGTGCCCAGTCACCTGTGCTGCCTGGACAGTGTGCCCCTCCCTGCCACACCATGGTCCCTGCCCATGCTCATGTTGCCCTCCCCTCCACAGGATGGCTTTAAAGACACAGAGAACCGGCTGATCCTGTATGTCCTGACACGACCCCTGGTGCTGCTGCTCATGGCTGTAGTGAGCAGCGCCCTCCGCTTCCTGCTCAACTCTTTTGTGGCTGCTCTGTTGGTGCCTGTGTTGCTCACCATTGTGGCCCTCAAGCTGCTCCTGTGGCGGTCCGCTGACCTCCACTGCCTGCATACCTACTACTGTGGGGGCCAGCGGGGCCTCTGGGTGGCGGTGTACGATGGCGATGATGTGTGTGGATGCGTGGCACTGGAGCCCTGGGACCAAGGCCCACCTCGCGCAGCAGAACTAAAGCGCCTGGCTGTCAGCCGCTGGTACCGGCGATCTGGAGTGGGCCGGCACCTGCTGGCCTTCCTGGAGGCACAGGCCCGAGAACAAGGCTATGAGCGTGTCATGCTCTATACCTCAGTAGTCGCCAAGGCTGCCATGAACCTCTTTGAGAGCTGCGGCTACCAGGCAACTGGCGGGCGAAGCTGGCTGGGCTACACTGTTGTGCAGGAGTTCAGCAAGGAGCTGTAGCATCTGCCTCTACCCGGTGCCCTCCTGACAGTGGGGTAAGAGGGGCCAGCTGGGGCTTCTCCATCCTCCGCTGCGCCTCGGAGAACTTGTACAAGGGGATTCAGGGAGCATCTGTGAACAGTCCAAGGCCTCCACACTCAGAAGACAGGGGGCACCACCTTTGAATGTGTGTGCATACAAGGGCCTTTCTGAGTGTGCTTCCATGGGAGTTGGATGTCATCAGGTGGATCCTACTATGAGGGCCCAGGCAATATGTAATGTGCTGGGGCTGATGCTGAGGCATGGAGCAAACACTAGGAAATGCTTGTTGGGAGACAGTAACCTCCTGCCAGCAAAGTCATGGCTCATGGCATGCCTAGAGAGAATGGAAAAAGCCTGTGAAGCATGGACTGGGAAGGATTGTTTCTTGTGATGTGGGCCTGGGGGCACCCCTCCTTCCCTAGGGGCTAGCCCATCCCAGAACAGCCTTCTACCATGCATAGGCTTGGCTGGGACTAGGAAATGTGAATGAGGGGGTGGGCAAGGAAATGGTGCCCAAGAGTCTAATGCCCATCCCCATCGTAGCTGTGACTGAAGGTTGCTTTTGGAGACAAGGAGTCTGCACATAGGCTCCAGTAACTGCAGTGGCATCTGCCTTGGTTCTCAGAGCTGCTGAGCATTTCTGTCACCCCTAGCATTAGGCTTGTGTGTGTATTTGAACATATGTGTGAATAAAGCTTGTTGTAGTGACTGCTTCACCTGTCTACATGCTGGGATGGGCCTGCCCTCAGTCAGCCTCCAGCTGGACAGGGATCTGCCAAAGGCAGTGGAGTGACTGTGAGGAGGCTGGGGCCCCCCTTTACTCCTGATAGGGATGGATCTGGCACACAGAGTGCCAGGGGGGCTGGTGCTTGACAGGAAATGTCTTTTCTGCCCCATCTTGTGTAGCGTTGGGGTCCGCACAGCTGCTCCCTAGAGCTGCACTGGGGTCAGCATCAGCTGCTGGTGTGCCTGTTTCCTGCCCATAGTACAGCAGCACCTCCACGTGCCACAATGGGCATCAGGGCCTGCCCTGGCTGTTAAGGGAGAGCTGCACCTGTACTGAGTCATCCCCACCTCACTTCCTACAGAGCAATGCTACTTAGAGCCTCACTGGGTCCTGGAGTCAGCATGGGCTGACGGGAGGAGTGC